TATTTACTGTTTAATTAAAAAATAAAATATATATTATTAAATATATATTACTTTTTATTTTTAAATATTATAAAAATATATTATTTTTTATATAAATATATTACTTTTAAGAATATTTTATTTTTTATATAAAATTTATATATATTATTTTTATATTATTAAACGATATATTATTCTATTTTTATATATTATTTAAAATATATTATTTTATTTTTATATATTATTAAAAAAGCATTTATATATAATTTATTAAAAGTATACTATTTTTTTTAAAAAACTTTTATTTATTTTTATAATAAAAAATGATAATGTCATTCCATTCTAATCATATTCCTTCTGCATACCAAACGCATGAATGACAAAACATGTTTCATTCCATTTCCATAATCATTCCATTCTTCAATTTATTACATTCCTACGAAATTCTATTCCATCATACCAATCATGCATTAGAATTAGGAATCAGGTTTCAGGTAGGCAATGGGTTATCAATTAATGTTTAGGATTCATCCTGAATTCCAAACACCACAAATTTCCAACTTTTGTGCCATTTTGTAGGAGAGAAGCAAAATCTGCAAAAAGTTTCTGATCTAATGGATGCAGGGGGTAAGAAGTGGGATTCTGAGCTAGTCATGCAATCTTTCAGCGCTACTGATGCTGCTCAGATTTTGAAAATCCACATTAGTCAAAGAGGCTCAAAGGACTGATTTGGCACTCTAAGAAGGGTCTATGTACTGTTAAAGAAGTTTACAGAGTGATCCAGAAGAAAAATAAGAAAAGAGAAGGAGGAGAGGGATCAAGCAGTGATAAAGGAAGGAAAATTCAACACATATGAAAGAAGATTTGGCATCTACCTATAAGTGAGAATTTTTTTTTTGGAGATGTTGGCACAATTGGGTGGGGATAAGAGTTAGATTTCACCAAAAAGGGGTAGTTGGGGATATCATGTGTTGCTGGTGTGGGGAACAGGAAGAGGATCTTGAACACTTAATCTTTAAGTGTGAATGAGCTCAAAAGGTTTGGAAGTTGGTTGGGTTAACATGGAATAAACTGCATAAAGATCATGTTTGTTACCAAGATTGGTGCGAGGACTTATCCAGCATGAAAGACAGTGAGGAAAATAAAAATAGAACTGCCTTATCAACCTATCTTCTATGGTGGATGTGGAGGACAAAGAGCAACTGGATCTTCAAGAAAGAGATGATCACAGAACAACGTTTGGTAAAAGGTGCAAAATTGGAATGAATAGAGTATGAGAGCATCAAGGGGCTAAATGACCAGATTGGAAAAAGGAGACAAATAGCTGGGTTGAGACAGGGAGTAGAGGGTCACCTTAGGGGAACTCATCTTGAGTTTTTGCCCATATTTTGTACTCGCTCTGTACATTGAAGTCGTATTATTGAAATTTGAAAAGAAAAAAAAAAGGTCTAGAACATTGAAGCCACCTCCATATTCACATAACAGTACAACCTAGTCTGCGTAATGTACAAGTTATATCTTTAATACATCCGACCGTCATCAAGGAAAACAAAAGCTATTTCACAACCCACTTCTACTATTTCCTTTTGCTCACGTTGCCTTTTCCACAAAATCCAGATTCCAGTCTGAACTTTTTTATGGTATTTTCATTTTGCAATTAATTAGTACACATACGTATACGTGCTGTGATTACATCTGTCTCAGATCTGTTCCGTAGTTTGTCGGTTGAATCTAAGGTAACATCTCGACCTGGGACTTGATCACGTTGTGTTTCTTCTTTTTTGTTTTTGTTTTTGTTTTGATTTTCCCTTTTAGTTCAGTCAATTGTTAGGTTTCTGAAGAAAATTGGGGATCTTTTGCAACGACATGGAATCATCATCAGGGGCAGCGCCAGAATTCGATTATCTGTTTAAGCTGTTGATGATCGGAGATTCTGGGGTTGGAAAAAGTAGCCTTTTGCTCAGCTTCACGTCTGATACTTTTGAAGATCTCTCTCCTACCATTGGTGGGTCTATAGCTTCTTTTATATTCTGATGATATGAATATGCATATTATCAAATTGCGTTCAATTCCTAATTTGTGGAGCCCTTCTTTTTATTTGTTGTTTTTTGGGCGGTTGATTTGAAGCCATTTTCTAGCTTAATGAGAATGAGCGGCTTGTTACAATGTAGGAGAGTAGAGTTTTTGTTTGTTACTAGCTTGTATTCTATTTGTTCACCATACAAAGATGTGACATTCTCTGGTATAGGGTGTTACAGTCGGATTGTCTCTTTTCGGAATACTATGCTAAGCTTCAGTTTGTTTATATATGTGTCTGTATAATGGTTGGGTTGTTTTTCTGTTTTTATTTTTTTCTGGCATTGCAGTGGATACGATGATTTTTTTCTCTCTCCGAATTACGATACTATTACTAGATCCTTTGACCTTGATTTTCGTGGTATCTGGTTGATCTTGATATAAACAAAAACTGCACAATACATGCAATCTGGGGAATTCTTAACCTTACAAATCAATACAGAGTTTGATTGAGCCATGGCCTGTTGCTTTGTTTTTGTGTCGATATAAAAATGTGTTGGATTATAATGTGCTTTTTATGCTTGGTACAGGAGTTGATTTCAAGGTAAAACATGTAACTCTTGGAGGGAAAAAATTGAAGCTTGCGATTTGGGATACTGGTAAGGATTATGGGGGCCTAACTGCTCATGCTGTCATGCCGTTTGTGGTTCAATATTGATTGCAAATTAAATTCTTCTTTCAGCTGGACAGGAAAGATTTAGGACTTTGACTAGTTCATACTACAGAGGAGCTCAAGGAATCATCATGGGTATGCTCAAAGATTTGCGTCCATGTTGCATTATTTTATTTCTTGCTGTTTGTTCTCATCAGTTTGTTATCAATCTATATCTTGAATAATGTACTTTATTGGAGATCTATTATTGAACACCTGAGTTCTCCTAGTGTTAATGGTTGATCCCATACCAGGGATGGCAGAAACATAATCTCTCTTTTAAGTGGTTTTTTAGTAGCATTGTAGCTTTCATATCTAATGCATTAGAAAAATGTGTTACAGTTTATGATGTGACAAGGCGAGACACCTTTACGAATCTTTCGGATATTTGGGCCAAAGAAATTGACCTCTATTCAACGAATCAAGATTGTATTAAGATGCTAGTTGGCAACAAAGTCGATAAGGTACTTCATATCAGCAGTGTAACACTTCTGTATATTTGGATTATGAATGGCACTTTCAGAGTCAGGCTTGGGGGTAGTTTTTTTACATTGTATGAGAAGTAGCGTTGCTTGTATTGTGCACGTGAAAATAAACATGTCACGGGGTAATAATATATTTTGCAGGACAGTGAAAGGGTTGTGAGCAAAAAGGAAGGAGTCGACTTTGCAAGGGAGTATGGCTGCTTGTTCATTGAGTGTAGTGCCAAAACTCGAGTAAATGTGGAAGAGTGTTTTGAGGAACTCGTCTTGAAGGTTGGTAAATTTGGCACAATTTTCCGAGCTTTGTTTACCAGGTTGGGGTTATTCTAAGCGATCGCTTATGAAAACTGAATAGCAGTCCTTTACCTGGAGATGTAGCTGTTTGTGTTCTCTAAACTCACTGTTCTCTGGACGCTCGAGACTTTTCAGCTTACATATACAAAAATATTATCAATTTTTTATTCTCAACTACATCCAAGTTGAGATGAATTTGCAAATTTATTTATTTATTTATTTATTATTATTATTATTATTATTATTATTATTTTGTGAAATGTCCCTTTAGTCTAATTTCGTAATATTTTTGCTTATTACGCGCATTTGCAGATATTGGAGACACCAAGTTTGTTGGCGGAAGGGTCAGCTGGTGTGAAAAAAAACATCTTCAAACAGAAACCTCCTGAGTCGGATGCATCTGCTAGCGGTTGCTGCTGAGTCTTTTCTTGCTTTCAGTTTGGCTCGTTGATGTAGCTCTCACTGTTGCTTTTTCAATGTTTTCTTCAAGAACCTTGTGTAAATGGGAAGTACTCCAACTATCTAACGAGGCATATTGTTTGTTCAACATCTTGTTTTTAGTTTGTGTTAATTAATAATTATATAGAGGTGGATGCAAATGAATATTTCCGAAGGCGAAGTAAATTCACTTGGTCACCTGCGCTATTGAGTGCGCGACCATAGGAGATCAAAAGCCATATCACAAGGTGAAGATAGGTTATATATTTCATCCTGATATTTAAAATTAGGCTTAGTTTAAATTTGGGCGCGTAGTACTACAAATTCTTGGTCTTCAAAGGGTTTCCATTGGCAATACATTAGTTTTGTAAAATATTGTTTTTTCTAATAATTTTTATGATGGCTTTCTATTTGCTGTAACTTAAACCCTCGTCCATGTTTCAGTATCATTCAAAGTAACATTTTTTGGATATCAATACACAGAAAACCTTGTTTTTTTTTTTTTTTTT